CGGGAGGGACCGGGAGGGACCGGGCCGGCCCCGGAGCCCCTCGCGGCGCCGCGCTCACCCGGTAGGCGCCGCCGGTGCTCTCGGGGTGCTCGGGCGGCACCAGGCGCTCATCGCAGAACGCCACGAGCCAGCGGGACGGGTCCGCGCCGGGAACCGCGCTGAGGGCGGGCGGCAGCTCCCGCGCCAGCAGCGGCACCAGCGAGCCCCCGGACAGCCCCAGCGTGAAGCGGCCGCCGCTCGCCACCGCCTCGGCCGCCGCCTCCGCCACCAGCCGCGCCAGGGCCGCGCCGAGCTCGCGTTGGGACGGGAACACCGACACGGCCGCCATGATGGCGGCGCCGGGGGAAGAAGGAGGGGGAAGTGACGTCAGCAGCGCGACGCGTCGCTAAGCGACGGCGGGTTTATAACAGGAAGTTGCCCTGGCGCGCGACGCGTTGCTTAGCAACGCGCGGCCTAGCGCGGCCTAGTGAAGCCTCGGCCTTGCGTGGCGGCGCTGCCCGGAGGAGCGCGGCTGCCTCGCCGCCCTTCTCCCGCTTCACCCGCACACAAAACCCCCCCTCGCTGTTCCCCCCGAGCCCCGCAGCACAGCACGCGGCACAGTCGCTGGTTTTTAATGGCCTCGCGGTCAGGCACAACCAAACGGGGCAAATTGGGTTAAAAACGGCCCAGATGGGTTAATTGTAATAAATATGTCCGTACAAAGGAGTCCCTAGGGGGGTTAATTAGGCACGAATTAGTCGTTAATTAGCGCTGTCGGAGTTAATTAGCGCCTGTGATGGCGATTCTCAGTCCAGGTTTTCCTTGGAATTCCGCTGTTTTCCCTCCAAAAAAAGTCAGGATTTTCCTGGAAATCCCTGGGAATTCTGCTGGGTTCCTCCTGGATCCTTGGGAACGCCGCTCTTCTACAGTCAAATCCCGCTTTTTTCCTCCAAATCCCACTGCTTTCTCCGGGAATTCTGCAATTTTCCAGGAAATCCTACCATTTTTCCAGGGAATTCTGCACTTTTCCACTCTTTTCCCTGGGAATTCTTCTCTTTTATAGGAATTTCTGCTGGTTTCCAGGAAATCCAGGGGGGTTCCCAGCAGGATTTTCAAGATTTTCTTCATCCCAGTCTGTTTTTTCTGAATCCCAACAGGATTTTTGGGATCCCGAGGAGGTTTTCCAGTGGAATTTTCAGTTTTTCCAGCAGGATTTTCACTTTTTCCAGCAGGATTTTCAGTTTCCCAGCCAGATTTTCAGATTTCCAGCAGGATTTTCAGTTTCCCAGCAGGATTTTCAGTTTCCCAGCAGCATTTTCAGATTCCCAGCAGGATTTTCCGTTTCCCAGCAGGATTTTCCATTTTTCCAGCAGGATTTTGAGGATCCCAGGGAGGTTTTCCAGCAGGATTTTCCATTTTTCCAGCAGGATTTTCAGTTTCCCAGCAGGA